CTCTCTCTCTCTCTCTCTCTCTCTCTCTCTCTCTTTCTCTCTCTCACGCGCGCTCTCTCTTTCTCTCTCTCTCTCTTTCTCACCCTTTATCTCGTTTGTTCTTCTATCAAGTCTCACGTATCTGGAATTTGCCTCGTGCACGAGGCTGTTAAAATAATCGGAACGAGTGAACCAAGTTTATCGTTGCGAATTAAAAATATATTTTCCGCGATTAATTATGAAGAACATGAAATTCGATATGTTGCGTAATTGTTTAATAATAATCAATACGATTGTGTTGTATTACGCCATTGCAGAATATAGGGGGTCTACTTGGTTAAACTGAACCTATTTCAGTTCTTTTGCTGTCCGTGTTTTCTTTCTCCTCTTTAGTATCACATCCCAAAATTCCGTCCATGTACACCTATACCAACTGGCGCAATAGTTGTCAATGTGTGTATGCGTGTGTATATAATGTACTATATACAGCCATTAAGTAAAAACGCATATACAAACATCGGACGATCCCGTGAATGAATAAATTTTATGATATGCTAACAGAACTGAATTAATAAACGAACAAAACTAAAATTCTCTAATTGATAGACCCTCCATATTTCTGTACAAAAAATGTATTATTTACCTCTATCTATTCCTATCCATTCGCTCTATCAGCGTATTACGACAAACGAATTGTGTATGCTATTAAAAGGGATCGAATCGACAAGATGGAAGGTCAGTGCCAGTCCCACACGAAGGGCGGACATTAAATTTATGGCACAATAAATAGTTCTTCCGTTACGTTATTATGCTAATTATTCATCATGTACAATACGGACCGCGTATCTCATTCGCTTGAAATTGGACTGACGCATCCATTATAGGAAATGAAAACTATGCTAAAACGTACGATTGTTTGAAAAGAAAATAAATGAATCATGATTCACTGACAACAAAACTCGTGAACGGGATTACTCAACTTATACAACTTATTAGACTTCAGATTTTAGACTTCAGTCCGTTTCGTTAAAATTTTCGATAGACTTAAAAATGTTTGTAAATAAACGGCTAACACGCTTTCAGAATGTTTAGAAACGCGAGGAAGGCAGATCATGGATGTTGGATTATATTATATATGTTTAGGCCTAGGGAGATTTCAAATAAATAATGAATCGAAACATGCAATATGAACAAAATTTGTTACCTTTAATATCCTAGCCATTTTCTGCTTCCCTCTTACACCGTTTTGAAAACGACACAAGATTTAAGACGGTCTCGTATATCATAAAAAATAAGTATGTGATGCGCGCAGGTTATAGAGCAACTCGATCAAAAATCTCATTAGTTCGTAACCATTTTCATACTCTCTGACTACTCTTTATTCAGTTACCAAAATCAATCACTTTTGCTCGAACAACGAATTTATTTTTGGTACTGTTTGGTACGGTCCCATTCTCTCTTCTTAAATTCTTGAAAATCTATCTTATCCCAATACACACTTCACAGAATTCGCTTTGAAAACATCAAATCAATGTAGCGCATTATAAATTATCACGTAAAGAAAAAACATCCTCACACAACATCAATTACATTCAGATTGATCTTAAGGCTGATTTGGTATTCTCCTTCGCGAATCAAAAATCAACTTATTTATTTACAATCCACTTTTGTTTATGAGCTGGGTTTTACATTTTTCAACAAATGAATTACACTATGCAGGGCGTAAAGACACAATAAGTGCAAATTTCATGGATACATAAAATGAATGAAACTTTCATAATATACAATATAAAATTTCATACATATACCCCAAAAAGATGGCAATTTAAAATATAGATGAAGTTTTAAATTTATTAATTAAGTTTTTCCAATACGAAAAAAATGCTAACCTCAAAATCTTAATGTATTAATAGGTGAATGATCTTGACTCTTCTGGTGAATGATTTTAGAAGTTCTATTTACCCATACAATTTCCACTTATACTTTATTTACACCCTGTGCGTGTAGTTACAACTGTCAACAGTTGTAAATCTCATAAATGATGAGGAATCATTAATTCATTTCTAGTATTGACAGTGACATATTGGAAAAAATTTACGATGACACACAGAATAGCGACAAAACAACTTTGAATTTTAAATTATTTAACAGAAAAATCTAAGTTACAATATGAAACAAACAATTTGAATGCAAGACAAGTAACTGAATTCTGCATTTTATGAATAATAATTAAATACGGACGAAATTCACATTAAAAATTCACATCTTTATCGAAACTGCCACAAATATACTGAAATTAATGATCCTCTGTTTGCGTTTAGTAATTTTTAGTAAAACACGACGGTACTATGATAATAATAATCAAGGGTTTTTTTCCATGTACGCATAACGAGAAAACCTGTGCGAATTCTTTTATGCAAATGTAAAGACGAAGTTTGTTGCATGAACGTTCATGAAAGCCCTGCCTCTCTCAACAAAAAGAAAAAAAGGCATGAGAAAAATTAATACCGTTATATCAGTCACATCCTTCATATACAACACAGTAGCTTACACGATTACAAGGCGGTTACACGTCGAAAGTTAGTCCGCGAAGGTATTAGATACTGACAACAAACCATTCGTATGGTAGATATTGATAATCTTACGACATAGTGATTGATGCTAACAGTAACTAATAAAACAAAAACTAA